TTGTTAAGATAACAGAAGAATTAGGAAATGATTTTCTTATGGCGATGTAGAAAATCTCCTTATCGAAAATGGTATATTATTAGATAAAACATTTATACCCAGAATCATTAGAGACAGCAAGACATATGCAGTAAATGAATAAACTTTTCAAAGTTGTGCAAAGTTTTTAACAAAAAAACTTCTTAACATTTTTCTATTAAATTCTCATTTAACTTAAATTATTTCAATTCATTTGTTATGAAAATATTTTAGGATCTTTCTTAAAATTTTAATGTTGGAACTGTATAAAAAAAACAAAAGTGAATGTAATCTATATTATATGTATATTTACAATATTATAATATTTATAAAATTACTTAATAAAAAGTAAAGCATATTATATATAATACAATACCATTAAAAAGCATCATTATGTCAATGATTTTGTCTAAGTCATACAAATAAGTTTTGTTTATATTAAAACTTTGTTCATGTAAGAAGTAGGTAGTCTTAAACAGCATTTAAATTAAAATTTTGAATTTATATTACATTATTAATTATTTAATGTAGTTTAAAATTTATGTGATTGTGAATTATATATATTGTTGTGATCACGTGAGCAAATGTTTATAATTTTATATTATTTATAAATAATAACATTGGAACTATGGTTACCAAGTGTTTATTATAGAAAAGAAGCTTCTAGAAACTTATTCTTCTGTTTGTTTACAAACATAGTTATTCATTTCATAGAAACATAATAATAACAATGAGTTCCACATATAAAAGGAAGCAAGATACAACGGGAGAAGTTCTTCTGATTCCCTAATGTCCTGTGAACGTAACATCTTATTAATGATTGTGTTAGTGAAGTGAAGGTTAAAGGTTAAATTATGTTATCCATGATATGAGTGATAATCCTTTTTGTAATAATGCTTGCTAAAGACAATATAGAAAAATGTTCATAACATTATTTTGGCGCAGTCGGTAGGATACTCTGGGCAACAATAGGCCAAAGAATTTTGAAGGATTCGTCTCTTGTTGTTGAGTTTTAACTCTTTACCGGAGTATCCGTACTTCTGTATTGTAGTAAGTAAAAAGGTCACTTTTGTGGATAATGTGCCGATAAATCCTGATCGATCCTAACCAATCTTAACCCATTCAAATTACTTCTAATCTATTTCACTCTAAATTTCTTCTAAGTCTTCTAAGCAAATTGATCATAAAAATATTTTCTTCCGATTTAGGAATTAATCAATATTTTTCTTATAAATAATAATAATTATTAATTTATTGTAAATTTAATTATTTTCTAAATTTCTCTTATGGGAAATTAACCCATTAATGTAGATTTGCTTATTAAAAAATTCATTTCTAAAATTCAAAGGTTTCTTTAGATTTTTTGAGCAGATTGATCTTATATTTTTCTAGAAGTTCGAGATAAACCTGATACATTTTATTGAATCGTCAATTGTCAGGATCTCTCTTCAGAAAAAATAACTCATTAATGTAGATTTGCTTATAAAAAAAATTAATTTCTAATATTTAGAGGTTTCTTCAGATTTTCGTGGACAAATTGATCTTATATTTTTCTAGAAGTTTGAGATAAGCCTGATACAATATTGAATCGCCAATTGTCAGGTTCACTCTTCAGAAAAAGTAAATTTATTATTGTAGATTTGTTTTCAGGAATTCTTCTGGAGGCCCTAGAGAAATGAACTTTGATTTCCTTTGATTTACCTAAGATGTATTTTTAATTTGGGATAATTTAGATCCGAAGTTGATATAGTTATGCCCGAATAAAAATATTATTGTCCATTTATAAAAGAAATTAGCAGTGAATACAGGAACACAGGGGTCAGTTGAATCATTAATCATAAATCATATACCACCTATTTATTGTAAATCTTTCATGGAATTTTTTGTGAAATCTTAAAAAGACTAAACATTTTCATTACGTCCATTTTAAATCCAAAATTATAAATTCCATGTTTCTCATCCAGATTCAATTTCTTTTCAAATAAATAAAAGTTTCTTTAAAGAAAAAATTTTAAAATAAAAAAAAAAATTTCACAAATTAAAATGTTATTATAAATTGCATAAATTATTAAAATAAAATAAAAATTTTAAAAATTAATCTAAATAAAAAAAAAATAATTAAATAATAAAAATAATTTTAAAAAATGTTTAAATAAAAAAAAAAATTATATAAATTTGTAAAAAGAAGATAGAAAATAAAAAAGAAGCAAATAAAATAAAGAAAATAAAAAAAGCATTGAAGAAAGTAACTAACACTTCAAGAAATTATTAGAAAACAAGATTTTGAAAAAAGAAACACTAACCAATCAAAGTGGAACTAATAGAGAAATATTTGTAAACATGCTAGAAAATTTGACATATACAGAATCAATTTAGAACATACAATTTCAAATTTTGTCGCTGTAACCAAAACATGAGGTAAACACTGTAGAAGCTAAACTTTGCCTAAGAAATATGGATTTGATATTCTTTGGTATGGAATATTATCTTGGAAAAGAATTAAGCAAGAAAATAGTCTGAATAAATGAAGAAAACGAATTTCCCTGAAACTCAGAAAAATTGTTTTCTTTCTTAAGGGGGAAGGTGTTGTGATCACGTGAGCAAATGTTTATAATTTTATATTATTTATAAATAATAACATTGGAACTATGGTTACCAAGTGTTTATTATAGAAAAGAAGCTTCTAGAAACTTATTCTTCTGTTTGTTTACAAACATAGTTATTCATTTCATAGAAACATAATAATAACAATGAGTTCCACATATAAAAGGAAGCAAGATACAACGGGAGAAGTTCTTCTGATTCCCTAATGTCCTGTGAACGTAACATCTTATTAATGATTGTGTTAGTGAAGTGAAGGTTAAAGGTTAAATTATGTTATCCATGATATGAGTGATAATCCTTTTTGTAATAATGCTTGCTAAAGACAATATAGAAAAAATGTTCATAACAATATATATATATATAAAATAAAAAACAATTTACAAATAAATATTGCTTAGGCCTAATTTTCATTTATGTTTTGTTTGTTTTTTGATTTTTTTTTTTTACAAGACAAACATTTAAATGGTAATTTACATTAATCTCTAATTAAATTGAATTCTAAAAATTTAAATTTTTTAACATGATAATAATAATAAAATACAATTACTTAATGATAATATTAAAAATTAACAATGATGATTAATATATATATATTGAGATTAATTATATCAATAATGATTGTATCTTAAATTATTTATTAATTTTAGATTTAATTTGCATAATACAAATATGTTTTAAGGAATGGAAAATTTTTCTCTGTTTTCTTTAGAAACTGTACACATTTCATTACCAGGCATTGGTGTATGTTTTCTTTACTGCAAATTATTCAAAGTAAAATTAGTGATTGACTGGCACAATTATGCATATTCAATATTAGCATTGTCTGTGGGTGATAAACACGACAGAGGAAACTTTTCGACAATGAGGACATCTTGCCAATGAATTGTTTATTACATTAAACTGAAAATAAAAATTCAAGTTGTTTAAATGTTATAAAATATGATTTTAAAAGTTGATAAAAAAAAAAAAAATATAAGCTCACAAGGAATGTATCTCCACAATGGGCGCAAAGTACTCTAACCATTCCAGGCATGGTGTGAGCCGGTGGCGTAAGAGGGCTTTGTACCAAAGTAATAACTCTTTTACAATTAGCTCTCGGGCAAGCGATTCTCTGCGAAGAATTCTTGCAAATTAACAGGCAATTGCAAGGACATCTTACATACTTTTTCCCAGGTGGAGCTTTCCTAATTGGCTGCAAAAAAAATTAATTCAATCAATTATATTTCACAATAGAACGAGGAAAAATGGCAGCTTAAAATTAGTTTTAAAAAAAATTTTTTTTTAAATACTATTTTGTACTTTAATATTATATAATGTTATTTATAATAAAAATATATTTATAGGTTCATACTGTAGCTTCCAAGCAGACCATACACTTGACAACATGTTGATCTCTTTTGCCAGAAATATCTATTACAGATTGACACACTCTACATGTAACCACAAGAAGACCATTCTGTGCCGATGATTGGTAAGAATTAGATACATCATCAGGTTCATAAGGTACTAATGCATTATTACCAGCTGAAAAATAAGGTAAAAATTAATTTTTTTGTAATATTTATTTTATCAAAATTAAATTTTCCATTCCAACATTTATTGTAAAAAAAAAAAGGATTTTGTTTAAAAAAAGAAAAACTTTTAGTGGTAATTTTTAATTATACAATAATCACTTACTGCATATGACATTAGTTATACAAATAAACTCATATTTATATTCCCTTATTCTCTTCAAAACGAAAATTCAAAAATTTGGCTTTATAGTATATTTTTTTTATTCCAATCTGTCATTTCAGTACTATTTTCTTGAACACACACATTCTTATAATTCTTATATAAAAAATTATTAACTATAAATAATTAAATTTTAAGGAAAAAAAAATAAAAAAATTTTTTTTTTTTTTAAATAATTTAATTATAAGTTTTTCTACGTTAAAGAGGATTAATCATCAAAAGTAAAAATAAAAATTATTTCGAATTTGACCAAAATTTTCTGAATAATTTATTTAAAATTTATAATACTGAATAATTTTTTTCAAAATGTAAATTCTTACACTGTTCGGGATGTTGATTGTAATTTATAATAGTTAAAAGTAATTATTATTTTTTGACATAAAAAAATTAACCAGCCTAAGTACAAAAGAATTTGTCGAAGGCATTGTTTAAAATAAAAAAAATTTAGCCATTGGCTATAAATAAAAACAAAAAACTATGATTTAGAAAAATTTTAAACTTACAAGTATTTATATAAAAAATTTACCTGTTTCGTTAGTTTCCTCAAAATTATTTGGCACAGTTCCATTAACCACAGTA